ACATTCAACATCTCTGCCAATTATTTTCTTTGCTGCTTTAATAACCCTTCCCAGCTTTGTTCTATCCTGAACCCTCAGAGAATAATACCAAACAACACAGCAGTATGTAATCACAGATTGAATGACTGAGCTATAAAAGAGCTTCATGATATCTTTACTCACACCAAACATATTCATTTTCCTAAGAAAGTACAACCTCTGGTTTGCCTTCGAGTATGTTTTCCTAACATGCATGTCCCATGACATACTACTATCAATGTGAACTCCCAAGTATTTGTATTCGGTGACAATATCAACATCCTCATCATGAACAGTTAATGGAATTATGTCGTTGTTCTGCTTTCTGAAATCTATGATCATTTCCTTTGTTTTTACTATATTCAAGACCAGATTGTTTCCTTGACACCAATTTACAAACTTAGTTACTTCATCTCTGTATGGTTTTTCATCATTCTGACATATAAGACCCATGACTACTGTATCATCTGCATATTTAATAATAGTACAGGAATCATTTTCCATCTTACAGTCACTAGTATAAACGCTAAACAAAAAAGGAGAGAGTACACATCCTTGGGGGACGCCTACATTTGTTGTAATCAAATCAGACTGCGAATTGTTAACTTTCGTCCTCTGTTCCCTATTCACTAGAAAATTCAGAACCCATGAGCACAAACTTGGATGGACCCCCAAGACCTGAAGTTTCTGTTTCAAACACATAGGATCAATGGTATTAAAAGCCGAGGAAAAGTCAGCAAACAAGATTCGTGCATAGGTTTTTGGCTTGTTCGCATAACTTATGCCAGAGGGTCATGATGGCATCATCTACACCTTTGTGAGGTTACATGTAGGCCTATACCACAACCAACTAATATCAATGAGCAAGGCATTTAATCTACATTACTCCTCCCAACCTAGGTGTTTTAAAATAGGTACCCGGTGAGGATGCGATAGTCAATGTGATTGGAATAGCACATATGCATTCACGTGGACAGTCGTCGTGCCAACTCGTGTTATAATTATGCTCTGTAGCTCGTGGGATATACCCTGTATCCCATTGACTATAGGCCACTGTATTATTCGTTATCCCCATCGATCTTAAATCGATGGTTGTGGTATAGGCCTACATGTAACCTCTACAAGTTTTGTTTGCACATCTGATTAAAAAAAAAATAATAATCAATTGTGCTCACTACTCTGTTGTTTGTTCTTATTTCTTTTCTTTATAAAGTAGACTAACTTGAATGTTGTTGGATGCGATCAGGTAAACGACTCAAGTCTGCAAAATGTAGAACAAACCGCTATCTGAAATCCTTCATTCCCTTTTCCATTACGGCCTTTAACAGCTCACATTGAATAACGATAATAGTTGTATAAACATGTACAATGGCAATATTAAATTGCCCGTATGAATTAAGTTCTTGTACGTACAACTGACATTGTAATCTAATGCGAAAACTGATATTCCGTCTTCTATAATGTTGTATGTTTTGCAGTTTAGCTTTGTTTGAATGGAATATGCGAATATCAACCATTTCGAAAACCATCACATATCCTGTCTATATATATATTATATTTAAAAAGGCCCTTTTCATGAACTTACTATGTCAGCACTTACTATGTCAGTTTTACCTTCTTTTCCTTCTACTTTCCCGGTTCTTTCGTTTTATAATTTTTTTTTTAAATCGTCTTCTGTTGCACTTTCATGTCAATATACGAATGTGTTAACTAATTTGAAAGTGGGAATTTATAATCTTTTTGTGTATTACCTTTATCATTTCACGATATTCTCTCTTTCTTCTTACAATCATCCCTATTCATCTTTTATTTCGCATCAGCTCTCTTTCCTTTTCTCTCTATATCCTTCCCCTTCTGCTGACTCTTTTCCTTCTCTCCTAACTTCGATCTACTGTCCTTCTATACCTTTATCACCCTCTTTCCCATTTTACTCTTTCTTAGTGCTCATGCTATGGTTAATTTTACATTTTAATATAAACGTCTACATATATTTATCACGTATGTATTCCGATTATTACTGTTTTTGTTGTTTACATATGTATTTTCTATTCCTTGTAAAAAGATTCCATGTTACATTTTTATGTTGTTACCTTGGAAAAATACAAATTGAATTAAATTGAATCGAATTAAAATTAATTGAATAGACACTGCATTTATATAAAAGTAAACATGTGATGGTAATTATCAATGTGACGATATGTAAAATTGATGAAGGATTTGATTTCTAGCATTCGTTTTTGTATTACATAGTAAACCTCTTCTGATTTACATATATTTCTATATATTTACTAAGTATTGCTAATGAGATAACTGTATAAGTGTTATCATGAATTCATTGACTCATATTGTAATATATCATGTTTTGAGTTTTAATGATACTTCTGTGTGTAACTAATGTCTTATTTCCCATTGATTATCAGTGTATATGATGGTTGATACCTTATGCAGTAACCATACTCGAGTATAATGCTGTAATATATAGTAATCAGTATAAATTATGTTCACTTCAATTGTATACTGGGAAGGGTCATGAATACAACTGCCCTATATTTCTTTAAATGCTTTCAAGTCTCAAGGGTTGCTTGCATCTATCCTGGGTAATGTCTTTCACAATCATAGTAACGAATGTGCGTTGTGTCAAGATTTGGTTGCATATTATGATGACGTATTATGACAGAATGGACATTTTTCATGTATATGAACAGTACAATAAACTCTTAATCTGAAACAATTCGACGATTATAAAGGTTTTTATTCTTTTATTTTCAAAGAGTGTCTTGTATATTTGTTACACGTATGCATATGGAAATAGGGTTAATAGTAGAAAGAAATTGCAGATGAGAAATGTGATTATGATGAAGATGATTAATGTTATTGGTATCATTATTATTATTATCATTACAATAATTATCTATTCAGCATAAACAAAATCAAGTAAAAAGTGAACAGTGGAGCCGACAAAGTTTTAAAAGAGTCACATGGATGCAGGGACAGGAGAACGATTAATAATAATTATATACCTTAATTAAGAAATCCAGCCATCTGATTGGTCGAAATTTCAGTCGTGGTTTTAGCCATTCCCGCAAATAAACGAAAAATGCCAAACCTATGTAATAGTTCTAGAGTAAATCAGTAATATCCCGGCAAAATTCCAGTTACCGGGAAAATAGTTCAATCTTGCTGAAGTACGCATTGGTTCACGTGTTAAATTCTGGTTTGAGCGAGCGCAGATACCATACATTGTGTGTGTGCGAATCGGTCGCTAGCTTAATCTTTCATTTTTTTTCAATGTCGATCGTACTACTAAATCTGGCCTAGATTCTACTTATAGTTTCCAAACAAGGCAAAAATGGCTGAAGAAACTCTTCTCGATGATGATCAATTGCAAGACTTGATTAATTCTGCTGACAGCAAGAATACCAAAAGGGTACGTGAAATTCATAATGAAAACTGTTGGACATTTGTTCTTGGAAATTGTGTGCGCATACGTGTACGTCGCTACAGCTAAACACGTAAACTACTACCACGAATTATGACATTGTTGCATCAATTCGACCATATCTTAAGTTACCATTGACGTTATAATTGGGGCGAAACGCATTTTAAAGCACAGAATATATGCTATTTTGTGGAGTAGAAATCATTTCTGGGGAACTTGTAACCCCGCTGCCTTTTGTTCTTGAATGTTGTTACGCATTCACTTTCTGAGACAAAAATCTATGGCAGATGCCATAATTTTTTGATGATACATGTGCAGATAAACTAGAGAAAAGCCAAGGTGGTGTCATGCTCAGTGGCTGCCGGGCTCACGATCAATCGGGCAAAAATAATTTCCATTTTCGGTTTAACTTAATAAAATTTGGAGTAGACTTTAAAAGATTATTATTATTGTTATTATTATAAGTTGGCTCTTTTTTCGGTATATAAAAGTAATAATGACTGCTTTAATATTCGAGACATAGTTGTTTTTATACGCTCTCGGGGAGGTTACAATTGTGCTATTGCCCCCGGGACGCCTCGGGCAATAGCACAATTATAACCTCCCCTTGAACATGTCTCTCAAAGCAGTCATTATTACTATATTCTATAACCTGTCGTCTTTCCTATATTCAACAGACAGTTAGTTAAAACATTGGTGTTAACCTTAACATTAGAAAAGAAAGGAGTGAGTTAAGAAGCCCTGTGTTCATATAGGCCTATATTGCTCTAGATAAAATAAAAGAACTGAATACATGTACATGTTGCTCAAGCAAGACTTTGAACATAAACATGGATATGAAGAGGGCGCTATGCAAGTATGTACAAATTCAACATATTGAGGGTGGCCACATTTTATGGGACTGACTTGGATTAAAAGGAAATCGCATTGTATGATATAAGGTCATTAACAATGCATTCGGATTTCAAACATTTGGGACTGGCTGATAATATGGAACTGACTTGGGAGAAAATAAAAATAACAATATATTAATGGGGGTTTTTTTTATTCAAACCTTTGATGAACCAGTTGTTTCGTAGAGTAAATGTATTTAGTAGCTCCATTATATATATAAACCAAATCTTATCATTATTATATTCGATTTCCGACGTACATCATGTGTGTGAAATATTCCCATGCTCTGGTAAAATACATTGTATAAATTTTGCCCTTACACAGTCAAAGCAATAGGGTGAATGATATAATATATACATGAATATATCTTACACTGGTCAGTGAGAATCAGTGGAAGGGATGGGCACTTATTTGGGCCAATAATTATAGCTTGACCCATACTTTGCTCACAACGCGAAGCTTACCTTTAGAACCCGGATGGGTTCAGAATGGCAATGTCAATGGTGCTATAGATAAATGGACCGTCCCATATAGCTTGGTCCATATTATGCCCACTTTTCCTGGATGCGAGACCAACTTAGTCAAGACGGGGCCTAGATCATGCCAATGGTGCAAATGGTATAAATGGGGCGTGATATGCTTTGACCCATATTTTGTCCAAGTTATTCTTTATTATTAATTCGTTTTTTTATACAGTACAATATCATACACATCTTTTCGATAAGATTCCAAATCAAAGGAAATATGAGCAAACAAATTAAGGTATCGTATGTTGGCGAGAGGGAGATAACCTGTTTCAGAATTCGGCTCACGAAAATTATTCTTACGACAGTCAGTATACAATAAAAAAAAAAAAATTAAATCATATTATTGGGGTTCAGACATAATGCTCTACTGAATCATTAAACAAACTTGCTTATTTTACCCAGGCTACCCGGGTGCCAGTCATAAACAATAATATTTGACACCATTGCAGAAGTGGTACAGGTATTTTTTGTAATGTTGTCTTCTTTTGAATACGGACTTGCTGAAAAATGTATTAAACTAAATATAACAAACAAACACAAATAAGGATCAATGACCAATACAAAAAAGAAAACAATTATGATTAAGCCTCAACGACACCATCTTTACTGGAAATACGACATAATGTTATTCAAAAGGAAACACATCATATTCCAAACTTTCTACATTTTGTACATATTTATCATGCGCCATTCATTATTATTTTCATTATCTTAAGCTCTTAACAATCATACGACTGAAAGTGTTTTGAAGACCTCTTGCAGCTGAATGATAAACTCGATTCAGAGTAAAGTATAGCTGCTGGCTAACATCAAATTGGCGTTTTCATAAAACAAGGCACGACAATGACATGAATATATTATCTGCCTACCTACATGGAAGTAAGAATAGTAATAATTTGCCTCTTTCATTCTATCTTACTGTCTTCTACATCACATGTACTACGGAGATAGTTAGAGTACCGAAGTATGACGTCATACTGGCCAAGTTATCAAGGTTGCTGGTTCCAAACAGTTTGATGCATAAAGAATGGTGTGATAATCACACCAGCGCTAAACACTGAATATGCCCTGCTCTAGCCCGTTGCTTGAATGATTTTGCGGTAAACCTCATGCGCAAGCACTTTTGTTTGGAACCAGTTAACTGGACGACGACCGAATATGACGTTAGCACTTCGGTACCCAATTGAATTTGACATAAATGTGGTCATCTAGCTCATGATTATCAAATTAACTAGCGGAAAGTAATAACAAATAAGTATGATTAGTTTGTATAACTCTCTTGTTTTCGAGAACTTTGTGGACCCTCCTACTTCTGGAATTTCACATCCCTGCCGTGTGGAGAATCGAAGTCTAGATCGGGTCCGATGGCGACGATACCATTAGGATTGATGTGCCTGTGGACCATCTACACGATGAACGAACGAACGAGAAAGAGAAAATGATGCTGATTGAGAATTATATTATAGAATAATATTTTTCGTTTTAAGTTCTACATTCGTTTACTTGCATGAACTGCCCCGATGTGATCAGATGGCCACGCAGTATAAGAAAAGTGTGTGTTGGTGAGTATGGGAGAGAGTGTATGTGTGAATGCAATTTTTTTCCTTTTTTTTTTTCTTCCTTTTTATAACAAATACAAAATTTGAATAATGTACTTAGTTTTGTATACAATTACTGGAGACATACTTTTACATAAGGCCCGGGCTTCCTGTCTAGTCTCCAAATACTTTCATTAATGTACATGTTTAAAATGTTTTTCCCTTGTCCATCATGTCTTCTCCACTTGTGTTATCCTCATGTTATATATTGATACATGTATTATATTCTAACTTTTATATGTTTGTTTTCGGGGGGGGGTCTTCAAACAGGGAACGTATTGGTGCATGCGCTAGCTTGTAATTTTGCTAGGTATATATATAGTTTACATGTCAAAATAGACTGATATGACCGGGGTGAATAATTGTTCACTCTTGTAGAGACATCATAGACGTATTCAGCGCTATAAATCTGGTGGGTGTTTCATAAAGCTGTTCGTAAAGTTACGCATGACTTTACGAACGACTTGTATATGAAGTGGCAGATAGGATGCCCACATTTTTTAATGATATTTTCAATAACGTCAATTGAATTATGACAAAAAATATACTTTGCAATAAAAAACGTTTTTTATCAGAAGAATGTTAATCAACATCTGCACAGCTCAATTTTATTTGATGTATTTAATAATGATTGAGCATCCCATTTGGCTTTTCATATACAAGTCGTTCCTAAAGTCATGCGTAACTTTACGAACTCTTTATGAAACACCCACTGGAACGATAAACGTCGAACCTACATATGTGAATAGAATGACATGGGGAGGTGTGAACAATAACAAAGATTTTGAATAGTGTTTCAAAGTATTACTACAAAATATCATTGACTTCACAGTACTCATGGCATCATGGATGACAAAATGATGAAACATATATCCCAAACGGCTAGTGTTACTAATTACCTGATAATGTTTCTGGATATGTTCTTGGTCTACCGTTTCTCCAATCCCCGGTGTCTGGTAAAGGTCACGGGTGAAGCCCCATAAGTTGGGATAGTCCACAATACGCTTCTTGTTACACTGAGTAAAATACAAACAGATTAAAAATCCATTAACTATAACAAAATCTATACAATCATTGATCAATAACATCAAACGGAACTCATTATCACTACAGTAGCGTATTGGGGGTGGTGGTGGTGGGGGGGGGGAATATCGGTGATTCCCTTCAGAAATAATTTTTTGTTCATGTCAGTAATTTTGTCCGTGTGTATTATGACAGTATTATGACCATGCAAGAAATCAAGATTTCCAAAGTGAAGTGAAGTTTAGTTGGCTGCCCCCCCCCCCCAACCCCATTCGATATGATTATTTAGACCTACATTGGATAATATGGCAGTCGTCAGGAATAAAGCCCGACAGTTTGAGAAGTCGAGGATTTCTTCCTTTCCCTTGCTCCATTCAGCAAAATAGCAAGATATTGAGAAAAATAGTGCACTTCAAATATACTGACGGAATCAAACTCAACAAGCTTGGACACACCCCTGGAATAGGCATCGAGAATCGAGATTATTAACAGATCTAAAGCACTCACATTGTAGCAAAATAGAATAGGTAGTTTATTTCAAAATCGTAAAAACTTCGAGATTCAAGTGTAAAACAACTGACTGTTTTTGTGTAAAAGAATGATAAGAAGCGAACAATGAAACAAACAATACATTCCTCATGTGTCTCCCTCTCTGTTTTCTTTCTACTTCCCGCCGCCATCCCCTCTTTCTCTCTCTCTCTCTCTCTCTCTCTCTCTCTCTCACTCTCTTGCTCATCTCTCCTTGTCCACCTCTTTCTATCGTTCTATAATATATGTATGGATGTTTGTGCATGAATATTTCTCCCCTTCTCTCACACTCTCTCTCTCTTTCTCTCTGTCCTTTATATTTTGTACTGATAAACACTTTCTTTTCTCTCTTCATTCTCCCAAATTACTCCCTCGTTTCTCCACAGAAGCCTAAACACCCATCTTCCTCAAGCAGAGGAATCGTATCATAAATGTATAATGTAGATTAAGGCATAACTTTCTGGCTCCGACAGGATAAAAACTGATACAATAGATAACAACTAAAGACTAGTTAAAGTCGATGATCTTTACGGCATATCTCTCATGAATAATTAATGTTCACAGAATGATGTACTGGTCAGTGCTTGGCTTGCAACTGATCTTTTAGGATACACCAAAGGCTAGGGTTCGGAGTAGGATAGAGTATGGCTGGGTTGGGTCCAATAATGAAGCATGGACTTCTTAGTAGGTCCATGATTGAAGTAAGGGATTCGATTAGTGTTAGATAACTGCATAGTTATTGTCAAAGACTTATTTGGTGCATCACTCCTCCTCCTCTGTCTCCTTCTCGTATTCTTATTCTTTCTATCCCGACCCATCTTTCTCCATCCCAAATTTCATGACACCAGTCTACCACGTCCACCACGCCCTCATCATCCCATCACCATCTGTTTCCTAGGTGACGCCTCCATCATGGTTCAACCCGGTTCTTTCCATCCTCCTATAATGGGTCACATGGGAGCATCACATCAAGAGGCCAGACACCTCGCGATCTGCTCCTTCTTTATTCCTTACGTCATCATAATGAGCAACAAGGCAAGTGGCTGTTTCATCTACCCCATCTGCTGAGTTCAAGAGGGGCATTAACGCGTATACTTTACACCGAGGGAACGCCCTTCTGGTTCTCAGCAGGCGTATCATCTGACCCTTTTGCCCCGTGTCTAATTCATAATTCAAAGCTTACATGACGGCATGGCGCTAGATGGGATATGTATCATTAAAATGACAATCACCTTTCCTTTGCAAAATGAATTTTGAGCAGGCACTCGAGACTGCATCATTATACGTTGGGGAATTTCATACTTGAGTAACTCGGGTAACGAACGACAGCATGTAGTTCGGGAGTAGAGGACACGAAAGTGGAATAGGAATAGGTATCACGTTTCATCCTTCATCGATAATAACATGCCAGATGGACTTACAAAGAAACCATATCATTTGAGAATTATTATATTTAGCGTACTTTTTTATGAATTCGAAAGTAGACGAAAAGCGAATGCTATTCTTAAAAAAATATATTTCTATCCTGATGGGAGATAATGGAAAAGGTTTGTCTTTCTTTCTGTCTGTCTCTCTCTCTCTCTCTCTCTCTCTACCCTTCCCCATATCTTCAGTCCTTATATATTGTCCTAATCTTTCATGCAGCCTTTGGTAATGTTGGTTGAGTACTTGCTTCATCATAACTCATAAGTGAGTGAAAACAATGATGATGGTTTTGATGAATGTGGCAGTGATTTTAGTGATTATGATGATACTGATGGTGATGGTGAAGATGAAGATGATGATGATGATTATGATGACAATGTTCATGACGACGGTGATGGTGATGGTGAAAGTGATAATGATGACGATTACGATGATGACGACAACGACTACGACGATGATGATAATAATGATGATAACAATGGTTTTGACGACGAAGATGTTGATGGTGAAGGCGATGATCTGGATGGTGGTGATCAACTCGTATATACATCTTTATTTTGGCTGCAGATGACGGGGGCCTAAATTCCGGGGGAGGCATGCAGGGGCACTTGTCACTCCAACATACTTTAATTTACTACGTGTCTTATGGAGTGAAGCTTCCGATATAGTATCTACCCTCAACCCTGAAGACGGATCGACATGACCTTACTCTATTCTTATTTATGTCCTCTCCTGTAATCAAGGTAGTCCACAACTTGTATGGCTTCACATTAAAGGCATCCTTTAACAATGTTAAATCTGAGATGCACGGCCCTACGTGTTATCAGCGTCTGAGATATGGTGTAATATTGAAGCCCTAAAAAAAATATCGCGCTTCAATATGACCAAGAAATGCCTCAAAAAGTACAACAAAAAACATCTTTGAGTGACCGGTTTTACCACACTCTTTTCCCCAATAGACTGTAGTATTAAATTTGTGATTCCAATCATAAAATTCTTGATATAATCAGATATGCGACCGGCTTGTGAAAGTCATGGGCTTCCTGACTGACCTAAAGGTTTATAATTATAAGTGCAGCATGAGCTAAATCCAGGATTTTGTTTCAGAATATGAGACAAAGTTACCGGATTCCTCTAAACTTCCTTTGCACGTCTAGGGCTCCGGGTTATTGCAGTGGTGTAGCGTGGGCTCAACCGCTGCGGGGATCGATGAATATCACGAGGGGGGGGGGGGCATCTGTCTAAGAAGGTTGACGCCTTTCATGCCTCTCTCATTTTTTCTTTCTTCCTTCCTTTCTTTCTCTTTTTCTTTCTTTCTTTCTGTCTATCTTTCTTTCTTCCTTTCTCGATTTTTCTCTCTTTTGTCTTTTTCAGTTGTTCGATAGAGGGAGGAGTGCTCCCTGACCCCCCCCCCCCCCCCCCCCCCCCCCTATCCCGTGTAGCTACGCACATACTTCATTTGTTTCATTCGAGACATATACAATGTTTGCTTTATACCTTGAAGTGGTGAACGTACACGACATCGAAACGTATCAAGGTGGTGAAGAGACGGATGTCGGCCTCGGTTAGACGATCCCCGCATAGATAACGAGACTTGGACAATACATCCTCCACCTGTAAATATGAATTCATAAACATATTTAGGTAACAAATATATTTTTACATTATTCCAAACAATATGATCATTATGACAATTTGATCAATATTGCCCATGCCCTTCTTTTTCATCATGGCTCCAGAGAAAGATGTGAATATCTCAACTTTTCTTTTAATTCGAATAACCCTTTAATATGCGTTTTACAACGAAAACGACGACCATGAGTGCTCCTTCTCTTGCTTAAACAACAACAACAACAACGACAACAACTTCTAATAATACTACTTCTACTTTTTCTACTACTATATTATCTGGTGTTGTATTTTCTTTTGAATCAATAAATTCAAATACTAATACTACTACTACTAGCCTACTACTACTACTAATACTACCACTACTACTACTACAACTACTACTACTACTACTACTAATACTACTACTACTACTACTACTACTACTACTAGTACTACTACTTCTATTACTACTTCTACTACTAATGTTGAATGATATCAACAGACTTACCCTGTCAAGAGCTTTGAAGAGTTTGACTACACCTTCGTCATAGGCTTCCTGAGCTGTGGCAAACCCAGCATTGTACACGCCCAAATTGATGTCTCTGTGGGAGAGAGAGAGGGAGAGAGAGAGAGAGAGAGAGAGAGAGAGAGAGAGAGAGAGAGAAGGAGAGACAGAGGGAGACAGAGACAGAGACAGAGAGAGTGAGAGAGAGACAGTGAAAGATAGAGAAAAACAAAATTTAATGCAGACAGAATGGAGGGAAATAAAGAAATCGAGAGAGGAAAAACAGGAACAGGCAAAAAAAAAAAAGAAGAAAAGAAGAGAGAGAGAGAGAGGGGGAGAGAGGGAGAGAGAGAGAGAGAGAGAGAGAGAGAGAGAGGGAGAGAGAGAACAGGAGAGAGAGAGAGAGAGAGAGAGACAGAGAGAGAGAGAGAGAGAGAGGGGAGACAGACATAGAGAGTCAAAGAGACAAATGCAGAGAGAATGGAGGGAAATAAAGAAATCCAGAGAGGAAAAAAAGAAACGGGCAAAAAAAAAAAAAGAAGAGAGAGAGAGAGAGAGAGAGAGAGAGGGAGAGAGAGACAGAGAGAGAGGGAGCGAGCGAGAGAGAGAGAGAAGGAGAGCGGACAGGAGAGTGAGCGAGGGGGAAAGAGGAGACATATAATAATAAAAGTAGCAGAAAGGGGAAACAAAGCTGTATGACAATTAAACAAAATCAATGAAAACAATGCAATCTTTATTATCGGTTTGAACTCACGAGAAAAGGCCAATAGCGAAATAGGATGTTAATGAGTGCGAACTTCTGGAAAAATTCAAGTTCAGTTGTTTTCTTAAGTCATAATTATGGACGAAAAGGACAATTTTGAGCAGATGGGGACATATAATGATTACAGTCCTCACCATTCAGCTACCAAACACAAACAAAACAATAATCAACACTCATCAAGAGCAAGAAGGATTGGCAAAACGTTGACGTGAGGGCACCAGAAAGATTCTGTGTTCTTTTTAAAAATATTTAGTTTAAAATAGATTTCCTCATTAGGAGAGGAATGAATTCAAAGAAAACAAATTAAAATGATATCGATAGGCCCTCATCATGTAATGACTAGATAATAATAACACCAAAGCACACAGCCATGCGGCTATTTTTGTATTTTTGTTATGATCAGGCAACAAGCCTTATGGCACCTGCACAAGGCAAATGACAGACCTTATATCAACACCATCCCTATATAGATCTCGGAGGTCGAAGTGAACAAAACGAAATTTATCCCGAATGAAGTACATTGGCACAAATCAAAAAAATATAGACCGAGGAACGTGATCAAGATTGGAAGGAATCCCGATTAGACGTCTCTTTTGAAATACCGATTATTTAATTGTTCTTTATTATCACATGTTTGCAAGCTGTACATCCAAAGTAGTTTTATTTCAATTTATAAACTCTGTTTATTTCTCTTAATCTACCAAATATTTGCATTTTTCTTCTTTAAATTTTCTCTCACATTCCTTTTATTATCGCATGCATATCGTTCATTTTCCTAATCAATACGTTTTTTATCCTCATGTTTTCGAGTTTGGTTTGCCTATACACTCACAGGAAATGATCTCAATCGTCATTCATGACTTTCAATGGATAACAATTACAACCTTGGGTATTCTAGATTATCCGTCTACTATCATCTCTACAAACGGCGCGTTCTATTTTCAATGAAAACAAATTAAAACGTACACATGTATGACAATGGGATGAGCCAAACCGCAATTAATTTAAATGCTTCATTAGGTCCATTCATTGATAACTTCCGTTTCCAAATCAAATCTCGCCAATTAGCGCAGGAATTGTCAACAGAGTTTAATTTGGCAATGTTTTCAATTAGGATAAGAGAATGAATGACTTCAATCGCAGACAGACATTCACCAGTTTTGTTTTGTTCTCTCTCTCTCTCTCTCTCTCTCCATTTTCTTCTGTTTGTCCGTCTCTGGTCTATCTGTCTGAATGTCCTCTCTAAATATCTGTCTCTTTCTGCCTCTCTCCCACAATCTGTACATCTCTTCTACATTATACATCGACGCAAGATTTCCTCTACTGTTGTCATGTTTGCATGGTTATCCACCAAATTCCTTTCATCTCTCTTTGTAATCTGTTTTCTCTTTTTCTTTTACAAGCATGCCAAATAATGTCTTTTCTATCTCTAGCATAGCCTTCCTACTTTCATTTTGCCTCTCTCTCTCTCTCACCCTCTCTCTCTCTCTCTCTCTCTCTCTCTCTCATTTTGATTGTTAATTTCTACTATACCTTTCGATCTTGCTCCTTCCCCATTTGGTTACGTTTTATATATTTCTCATACTTACTCCAACGAGCATGTATTAATCCTCTCTGATTATCATTGGATTTCGACTGTGTTTCAGCTAGGTAAGATGTAGCAGGACAATTTGGAATAGTTGAAGCAAATTTCGGTTTCATCACAACCGCTTTCAATTTTGAAAGAGAATGGTTCATTTTTGTTTTACCTTGACAACTTCATCAACCAATAAACTCAACTATACTCACTGAGCAACCCATGAGTTAATTTCCTCAATGGTTTCCATCAACTCATCTGGAGAGAGGTCTAGATTTCGCTGCTCCTCTGTAGCTGAGAAGGCATTGAACTGTTTATTCAGGATACGTAGGATCTCAGCGGATTCGTTGTTTACAATGGTCATGATCTTCTTGTCCCATAGGACTGGTACGGTCACCCGACCATCGTAACCTAAACGGAAGGAACGGTTCGGAACCGTTTGGAACGGAAAGGAAGAATATCGTTAGGTCTGTTCTATATAGCAGTGAACAACACAGACGGGCCACTTTCTTGTAAAAAAAGGCGAAAAGCTTCCAATCCCCCCCCCCCCCACAATTTTTCGATCGAAATGATTGAAAATGACAATGTTATTATTCACTATTTCTACTTAATTCCAGATCACTTAAATCGACGGTAATTATATTACTACTTTTTGTTGTTGCTTGGCCCAAGATATGTGGTTCGCGTCACACTATTACGAAACCAATGAAACTACGTTCGAACATCGGGGGGGGGGGGGTCAGATGTTTACTCACAAAAGAATAAGCCTACTTTGACAATTTTGTATTGACAACTATTGTGAACAGCTGCGTCTAAATTCCATTTCTATTAAATTATACTAGTCAATGTATTTTTGCTATTGAACATCCAAATTGCTTTGTATCGTTCATCATTCTTTTGAAGGTATTAAAGGCATGTCTTACCCGGCTCTACCATCATGTAGACCTCCCTCAGATACTTGCAGTTATTGACAGTGTCCAGGGATGTCTTGGGTCGCTGAGCAAAATGTGGACATATAGAACAAAGGATAAACAATCACTATGAACATGACTGACAAAGAGAGCGGACAAAATATACAGTTCCTCAGGTGGACAAAGGAACATCCCTTCACTACTATTATGTAAAAATGTGTAGAACAGGTGTCACATGCATATTCACCTTTTTACATAATAGCAGTGAAGGGATGTTCCTTTGTCTATCTGAGGAACTGTATATTTTGTCCACTTTCTTTGTCCGTTATATTCATAGTTAATATAAACAAACGAACAGTCATTTAGTGGAAAAGCCTATATCTCGAAGAAGCAATGGGAATACTTAGATTCCGTTTGATAAATATAATAATGATAAGTAAGGCCTCAGCACATAATCATGTCACGTATCTTCGCATCTTCTTTACTTTTTTTCTCCTTCCTCCTCCAACTCCTCCTCTTTTCCTTCTTCTTCTTTTTCTTCTTTTTTCTTCTTTTTCTTATACTTTTACCTCTTCTCCCTCTTCTTATTCCACTTCTCTGGCTCCTCCTCCTCCTGCTCCTTAAAATTACATCTTCTTAATATTTCCTGCTGCAACAGAACATTTTCTCATGGTTCATCATGTTCATGTCAATGCGTTTTTCCTTCATTCAGTTGTACCATTTACTAGTCTCTCTCTCTCTCTCTCTCTCTCTCTCTCTCTCTCTCTCTCTCTCTCTCTCTCTCTCTCTCTGTTCTCTCTCTCTCTCTCTCTCTCTCTCTCTCTCTTCCCTCTCCCACCCTCTTTCTCTCTCCCCTCTCTCTCCCTTTCTCTCTATCTTTTTCTCTCTTCCCCCTGCCTTTCTCCTCCTCCTCTATCTCCCTCTTCCCCTCTCTCTCTCTCTTTCCCCTCTCTCTCTTGCCTCTCTTTCCCTCTCTCTCTATTCCCCCTCTCTCTCTATCTCTCTCTCTCTCTGCTCTCTCTCTCTCCTACAGTTTTTCCCGCCAAAGAGGCAATGACTCAAAGTGGAATTGTGCGTGACATGACACAACATGCCGTATGTTCCAGGGTGTCAGTATGTACTCAGGACCCTCGTTGGGTGCAAGTTATTAAAACGAAATGGATCCCATATATTTCCCTTAATATGATTAAAGGTATCATTTAGCAGTTTCTAGGAAACCATGCTAAGATATATAGCGTCATTGGTTTCCGAGTGAACTGCAGAAACCAATGCGTAATCATGGCCAAACGAAGGTATGGAAAACAAAGGGAAATAAAAAGGAAAAAACATTTTACAACTCTGATAATACTATTTTGTTCCAGCATTCAATGATAGTTTTATTTTTATTTTTAACGTACATTTCAATCAAAATATTAGGATACTCAAATCATTGAAAACATTTTGTCGTTGTTGTAAACAGAAGAAAATGGAGAGAGAGAGAGAGAGAGAGAGAGAGAGAGAGAGAGAGAGAGAGGGGGAGAGAGAGAGAGAGGGGGAGAGAGAGAGGGGGAGAGAGAGAGAGAGGGGGAGAGAGAGAGAGAGGGGGAGAGAGAACAGCACAACTTGTGAATGTCTGTCTGCGATTGAAATCTTTCGTTCTCTTATCCTAATTGAAAACATTGCCAAATTAAACTCTGTTGACAAAATTTCAGCGAATTGTACAACTTGTATTTTTACTTCTGATTTTCTCTGGGACTGGTATGAAACAACTATCATTAGTCTAAAGCTCAGTCCTTGTCCCCCTTGTTTGTTTAAATATAAGAAGGGGATGCTAATGACAATGCAGATTTCTACGTCTTTCCAAGGCAGACGCTACAATTTCCGTCAATTTTCCCTCTATAGTAAAAAATTAAAAATCATGCCTAGATTTTAATTGCCAGGGGACTTTAACGAGGGACTTTAACTCTTATCCGGTGTGTTTGGTAATTTTGAAGTCATTAGTTCATTGATTTGGTTTCGAACCTAGGACCTGCCGAGTGTGTAGTGTGGGTTCGGAAGGCATAGCTACATGAATTGAATAACCCTGGATGTTTCTGCACCTCTATTTTTATGGATACGCCACTGATCCTCTGAAATACAGTACCATCCTTTTAAAGGGCCCATGACATCGACATACAATTGTATTCCTGTTGGTGTGCAGTCCTGCATACATCTCATATTTTGATATGTTTACTTCTGAATTTGTTTCATAGATTTTTAAATATTTTTTTGAAAGCTTGTAATGATACCTGATCAGTGAAAGCCCATCCATTCTCATCTCGTAGGTAGTCTACATTGGTCATTCCGATGGCGTCTTCCAGTCCTTTCATCTTCCCAGTGATGATAGCACTGTGACCCACCAACATAGTTTTGAACCCTTACCCTACTACTCTAACCCCCGAGCCACCATGCTTTTTAATGATACATGAGGGGGTGTTTCACAAAGCCTTTTATCAATGACAAATGACAAAAATCAGTGACAAATCTGCTGATGACCAATCAGAAGCAAGGATTTCAGTAGCTTATGACAAAAACTGTCATTTGTCACCGATGACAAGTTTTGTGAAACGCTCCCTGATCAGTGAATGCCTGTCCATTCTCATCGCGTAGGTAGTCTACAATGGTCATTCCGATGACGTCTTCCAGTCCTTTCATCTTCCTGGTAATGATGGTATGATCAGCCATCGACATAGTTTCGAACCCTTACTCTATATACTCCTCTAACCCCTGAGCCACCATGCTTTTTAATGATACCTGATCAGTGAATGCCCATCCATTCTCATCTCGTAGGTAGTCTACAATGGTCATTCCGATGGCATCTTCCAGTCCTTTCATCTTCCTTGTGATGATAGTACGGTGAGCGAATGGACAGGCCAATGAGACGTAGAGATGATAACGATCCTTCTCAGGCTGAAACTCACCATCGACTGCACAAGAAGAAAGAAACACATCGTAGGTTTGTTTTAACCTTTTAACTTAACAATGATAAAACTGAGTATTGACATTGTTCAAGCAGGATCCAAATGACAATGACGGCTCTGCCTCTATATATACTTAGAATTACAAGTTCAGTTGTTATAAAGTCTAACTAGGCGTTGTGGCGTGCGCCTGTAATCCAGCTATAAGTGGAAGTTACAAATTGATTCAGCCGAGGACGCAGGTTCGAAGCTGAATCACGTCTTTCGGATGGTGACGTTTAAAGGTCGGTCCCCAGACGTAAATAATCATATCTGATTGATACACGTCTGTTAAAACCGAATACACACACTTAGTTGTTATATTTTTAAATTGTGTATTTCCCATGTATCTCTATCATGTCAATCGTACAGGATTACAGTCAATAATACGACCGTACAGTTCGACGATTGAAACTAATTAGATGAATTCATCTTACTGAGGTTCAAAATGAAAATACATGTGGACAGAAATAAACAAAGTTTAATTTGAAACATGGAAAACAGACCACCGAGTTAAGAATGTTGCACGATCATTCATTCTCAAAACTAGGCATCAGGGTACTGTTAGTTAAGTATATTTTTGGATTCACTTTATAAAATTACATGTGTTGTATATATAGTTGCGCTTCCTTGAAAAAGTTCTCGAAAGATGTATGCCTTGTGAGTTCATATTACAAGGCTCACCACAGAAATCTTACATAAGCGATGACAGGCCGTGAAACTTCTCGAATTACACTTGGTTTACATGAATGTAAAAATACAAATCCTCTGATTTTCAGTCAAGATACTGGCGGACGGATATCGCCTTTAACGAGGTTTTTCCTTCCCTCGAAGGCAACCTGCTATATTGGGTCCACGATGTCCCGTTCGTCCCCTAACTTTCAACTCAACCACCACGCATCACTCATTAACAGACTAATTAAAGAAAAATTCAAGTATTTCCCCCATATTTATGGAAGGTTATGTGCTAATAAGCTTTGCGACGTTCCCATGGTAACGAAACTTTCGTCGGCCGCTTGTCTGGCTTAGTTTAGAAACAAAATCCACCTCTTTCCAAGCTCATTATAGGACTATAATGCACTTTCACGCTAGCTGATAAGATGACGAGAACGAATGGATGAGACGAATACAGGGAGGAGACAGAAAGAGGAGAGATAGTGGTGGGAGATCAAGGTGGCAAGGAGGAGGAAGGCGAAGAGGAAGAGGAATAATAATGATTACAATAATAACAATAATAATAACAATAATAATACAAATATAAACAACAAAAAGAAGAACAAGAAGCGGTTTTATATTACTATATAGGCGGAGCTTAGGGGGTGGGGCTTTTGGGTATTTTACATTAACTTTCTACATGTGCCTCGCAGTTTATTTTTTTCGGAGGGGGGGGGGGAGGGGCTCATCCCCCACGCCACATAACCGTTAATTTTATTGGTTTGAGTATATTCATAGGAACCCCGGAATATTGAAACCTATATACTTTATTCTAGAAATTATGAAACCCCTCGTGTGCCTATGGAAAATTTGGGTTTGGGAGTTATGAACTTTGGAAAAGAGAACCATCAGAAAATCGAGTAACGAATAACCCCAATATTTATCAACGTAAACCTGGGCGCTCTTGTGAATATACTGACCTTTGTCAAGAAGTCACAACCAGATTACACAACATGAGAAAGTGATACATTTTAAAATACACAATGTGTATTTTCGACTTGCACTCATCAGAGTAAAACGCAAGAATGAAACAGAAAGCCGAAATCGATCAATATAAACGGAAACTAAAAGGAACAAGGCGCGAATATAACGAGCCGGCGCTGATTACGAGCGCTATGACTCTCTTCAACTCGTCAACGCTATTCTCCGATTTTGTAGTACTAATCATCTTTTAATTTACAATGTGTATTGCTACACGTTCAAAGTGTCATATACTGAAATCCTCTCCCAAACTCTCAGCTCAAAATCTCATCGCATTGCATCGACCTTCATGTGTTGAAACCAGGAAATCCTTTCATTAGTGAAATCAGTCCATCACACGTCTGCTTTCACTGTGGTTTTGTCATCTATATCCACTGGGATTTTTTGCCATATCAATAATCACAATAACAAGAACTTTTCAATTGCTGATAATGATCGTAGGAAGATTAACACGCGCTTTGCCAAAACCAAAAGATGTAACATCTTTACACTGTCTCCAACATATTTGGCATCGGTTTATTATTACAAAATCTGGTAAAACTAACAAGTTTGAAAAATAACAAAGATTTCATTTCTCTCTTGCATATGAAGATGGCAAAATATGTAGGTTCATCGTTATCACATCGCTATTTATTCATGAATTATTTCGACTTTCTCCAGGTAAAAAAAGAAGTTTGATGTTTGAATTTGAGCCATGAAAATAAATCAAAATAAACATAATCAAATAATGTAGGTCTTGAGTTATCGACAGATACCTGCTGCTAAATGCAAGAAAATAATTCAGTTTTACTTTTGCTATTTAACTGTCTCTAATTAAGCGCAAGACCCCCCCCCCCCTCCCCTCTCAATTTCTTCAAGTCCATCCACAATTGTAGAAAATTAAAACAAGAACCCCAAGCCCCAAAACCCTCAAATAAACCCTTCGAAAAAAGAATCTTCTAGAACCGCGTCAGCCCTGCCAAATTAATGATCTAAAGAGAGAGAGAGAGAGAGAGAGAGAGAGAGAAGAAAATAATACTTTGACCTATATCAACACGTTTTGTTGTGATAATCATCTGATTGTACATCATTGCCATGGTAACATAATGTGTCACGCTTGTGTGTCATCCACAATGTAGAACGGTAATTAAAGATATTTTTCGTTATATTAAGTGACTAAGTAACATTGTTGAATGTTGATGAAAAAACTGTGTAATTTCTGTATGAAATGTCACTTATTATATTCCTTCTACTGAACTTACCCTCTCAGTAACAGGCAAAAAATCCTGAGAAAATTCTCAAACCACAAAGTTATTTATGGTTTTCTTTGAAGGTGTCACTATGCAACACCCTCTACCAGTGATCAATAGTAAATTCTCCCAACCATTTTTGAATTTTCCCAACCGTTCTTCCTTGAAAATAAGACAGGCTTTTAAAAATCTGTCAATACTTATATATATATATATATATATATATATATATATGGAATGGTAAATAGAGCCAATTCATTGCTTTGTGATAATTTACATTCGCCTAAAATGTAATTAAATTGTAAGATTACAGTTGAGAGAATTAAAGAATCAATCAGATCAGTTGGGCCCAATTGTTATCATTAAAAATGGTCCCTTTTAACTCAAACTTTCAGATTATCTTTAATTGTACATCTAGCATTGAAGTCACTACCTTAGCACCATTTTCTCTCATCTAAACAATGTTACCAAGTCCCCTCAATCAGTCATAGAGAGAGAGAGAGAGAGAGAGAGAAAGTACTTCGTTTTTCCCAAACAATTTGCACGGTTTTAGAGTGGATCCATAGTGGAGAGACTTAAAACCGACCTATGGACACTACTTAATATCGTTTTCCGAATACATCATTTTGTCTTATATTATGATACATAAACACTGTTACACTATTTTCTTGTTCACATACCATAATGTAATCAAGAAAGGAAAGATCGTGAAAGGAGATTCTTGAAACAGTTTGCGTAAAGTTAAAACTGATATCCTCTGAATTAGATGGATGGATAGTCCACAGTCACCCTGGCCAAGACCAAGTAGCGTCTGAGCCAAGAATCGAATTTGAAAGGTATAATCAAGACGTCTAAAGTTTGTCGTGGAGTTCTTATAAGTTCTCAAAATCTAATTCACACAGTTATGAGAGCTACGTTTTCGGCAAACAAATGAAAAATGTTGTCCCAATAAACTTGATTGTATGATATAAACGGAAGAGAGAAAAAGTGGAAATAAAGGGAAAAATAGGAAGATGTGTCAATTCGAGGTGGGTGAAGCTGTGTGTGTGCGTGTGTGTGTGCGGGGCGGGGCGGGGCGGGGGGGGGTCAAATACCTTAAATTCTGGGAATGGATTGTCTTTCTCTCATTAATTATTGAGTCCCCCCCCCCCCCCCACGTCACCCTTAGACGCATGAGACGCCTCTCTTCATTTTGTAAATAAATCTGACGTCCCCTTAACCGTTTTAATAAGTTCAGAATTTATTTATTTATTTTATATATTACAACAATTATTCAGTCCTGTGATATACAACAGATACAAACAGGAAACATGTTACAAATTGATAACATCAGCAACAACGACAAGATTTCTACATGACATATTATGAGAGCAACTAAACGTATTATCATGATTATGTAATAAAAGTAATAAAAGTAAGAATGAGCAGAAGAAGAATAACAACAATTTTTCCACGTCGTAAATCTCCTTGTTTTTTAACGCATTTTGTGAATGCCAAAATTTGTATACAAATTTAATTTTCAGACAAACAGTTAACTGACATTAGTTGTTTGTCTTTTTTACAAGTTACCTTGATGATCTTAACACCCTGGATGAAGAGCTCGCCTTGACCTTGAAATAGAGAATGTCAAACAGACTGCCTTCCTGTAACGCTGTCCCCGAAATATCCTCTTGAGACATATAGGGGGATATACCGGCGACACTCTTCCCATATAATACCTATTTTAAGATGAACGCTGTTTCGCTCTTGTTATGCTTGTCATGCTGAAAGCTGGTACATGCAAATGGTCATAGCAAGGGCGAGAATAATCCCACCTCCTAAACCGGATAATACTCAACTCAGATTATTAGGGCAAAACAGACAGAATAAGCATTGAAGTCTTGGAGATGCTTCAAGAAATCTAACGATTGTTTCTAATGAATATATGAAATCGTAGAGAGGATTAACAGTTTTGACGGTTTTTTGTTTGTTTTGTGGTGAATATCTCTCATTTGAAATATGCTACCTTCCCCCTTTGGGAATCATTCAATCATACTTGATAATGTTAATTATGAAATATATATTAATTCCACCATACCCATAACGCGCTTCTAAAATTAACATTCCAGAGAAATTTTACGTTAGCTAACAGTATTGTAATTGTGGCAGCTGCAATGAATATACCACGTACGTCGTATCATTGTGTCGTGACAGCACACAAAAAGGAGACCCACCCTAAACAAAATAAATAAAAATAGAATGAAATAAAGAGGAAAAGAATAAAATAAGAAAAGAAAGAAAGAAAGAGTAAAAAAGGGGAAAATCTCAAGCAAATACCATGCAGTAAGCAACCCTGGGTGAACTGTCTCAAGAAGGAGTAAAATAGGGGAAAAACCTCAAGCAAGTACCGGTAAGTATATACCCTGGGTGAACTGTCCCACCATAGCGAAGCCTAAATCCTGCCAAGGATCTTCAGGCAATACGTGACAGTCTATCGTCAGCTCAAGACTGTCACTCACTGTATACTGTTCTTGTATTAACCATAGCGATGTCTATCTGGTCAAGGTTTATTCAGTATTTCATCGGGGGAAGGGGGTTCAAGTCCCGGTAGAGGTTAGCCGTGACTCCCCCGGATAGTAACTGAGAGGCATTGCTTCACCCTCTTCTGCTTTCCTGTGAGGGATCCTCGAGAGGTCATTGCGGTCACTGGAGACACGATTCAAGCAAGGAATTCTGGCCTTAATTATCCATCCTTATAACCATGCTAACGTTGTGTCTGTTTTTGTTTGTTTGTTGTTTATGTGTTTTTTTAATTTTTATTTGTATAGCAAATACTAATCCAGAAAGGCCAAGAGGGCCGCGAGCCTTTTTATACATAATACATTGAACAATACAGTCGGAGGGGGGGGGGGGGGGGGGTAGGGGTTGGTCCTGCACCTGCCTCATGCTGAACAGGATTTGAAGGATGGACTTCGTTTGATCATGTTCGGGGGGGGGGTGGGGGGTGGGGTCATGTGGAGAGCATTTCGAACATTTCAAAATTTGTTTCAAATTATCAAGTTCGAACATTTTTACCCTCCATTTGTGCTGACCATCCCAAAAAAGCCCCTATCAGCTGAGGGTTTGTATCCTGGGTGAGCTACGCCTTGCATCTCTTGTTCACAACAAATACGGATTGTAAAACGTATTTTAGGGTCTAAAGGTATTCCATGTCTGAGTGGAGTTACAAAAACAAAGAAAAGCATATATGTTCAACCTCTTTCGTTTCAAAATATATGGAGAAAAATAATCATAATTCAGACTTGTCGTTATGTCTGCTATCTAATGACTAAACTTGGGTTGAACAAGAATATTGTTACGAATATGCAAATTAGATGATTCGCCATATGACCATTGGGAGACGTTGCTCGAGTTGAGTATAATAAACCACGAATTCGGATCAAAAGGTAACCAAATCGTCTCTAATTTGATATTCGTAACAATATACAAGCCTGATTTTGACGACAAGTGATTTGGCGAGTCTCTGTTCGGTTAACAATTCTCATCATGATCGACGCATTTACGGGAAAGTCCCTCCATTCCCCCCTTTCTTGTTCCAGGATAGCTAGGCCTCCACGCAATCAAATTACATGGTGAAAAGGAAGGAGTGTTGAGGGTATTATTAGAAGAATAAAGTCTGGAAGATCGGATATCTCAAATGAGAATAGCTTGCGTCTATAACTTATTCTTCAACCTAACTTTTTTATGCTCTCTTTTTTCAAGTTCTTTTGGGGCGCACATTATATGCGCCGTTACAAGAACAACTTATCCTTTTTGCGTCTAGAAATAATTCTTCAAACTAACTTTTGTTATGCTCTCTTGTTAAAAGTTCTATTGGGGCGCGAATTTATATGCGCCATTACAAGAACAAATTATTCTTATTTATGAAACATGACCTTGACAGATAAAATAAACCATCATTTTACAAAATATGAAGTCGTTAATCAGTACAGATTATCTAAAAGTTTCACTTCTCCATCCCTGAAAGTGAATATTTTTTGCTGCTACCCCACGCTGTTAGTTATCGTGAGCTCAAATCAGCTACGACTTCCTGTAACTGGCCTGCACTCTCTCCTCGTCACATCTCAGAGCTAGTTACAGGGGCGTACCCAGTCAAAGACAGATCCAGGGTGAGCAGAAATAGGAGGAGGATATATGAAAGCCTCTCATGTCATTGGTCCATGGATAGGGTATATAGCGTTAAGCATATATGTAGTATTTACTTTCAAAACGGTGACCGCGGCCGACGTCCCCCCCCCCCCCCCCCCTGGCAATGGCGACCCACCTAAACTCATTACGCGAGAAAAGAGGTGCAAGGGGGAGGGGAGGGGGGGGGGTCGTTGCTTGAATATCTGAATATCTTTTAAATGTTTTCTGTTGGATCTAAGAATTAAGAGGCACGAAGTGCATTGAATGATATATGGGAGGCTAGGGGAGAATTCTTGCAATGCTGTCACTTATGACGCATAGAGGCATCCCATTAATCACAGTTTTATTCAAATGACACAATTATGTATCTCTCTTTTAGGTAATTATAAGGTCAACATATAAATGTACATCAGTTTCTCTTGTGTATATAGGCTCAACATTAACAGATAGCTTACAGTGCTCGTGGGATGGATATAAGCCCTAATCTGAAATGTTGGGGAAAGAGGGGCAGTTTTAACCCCTCCTTGCCCCCTTGGCTGGCTACACCCGTACATCCCTGACACTGGGGGTCGGGGACGTAGCAGCAGCCTATATTTCCCCTCTCTGAATCACTCAAACATTGACTGACATTACCAACTCCGAGCATGCATGCAGCCCTGTTTGGCACAGACTTCCTAAACGGTCTCACGTTAAACTCAGCTCGAATGATGAATTGTGACTTGCACGGGAACCTGTACTCTACTCAAATTGGCAGTCTGTCCAGGTTTTAACAACCACACGCAGTACAGAGTAGAGCCCTAGAGGTGATTTGTTGATATTTGTGTAGAGAAAGTGACACTTTATTCGTGATCCTCGTTTGATTCTGAGAACCTGACTGTCTCTAATGAAGCTCCGATGAAATGTTGTGCGCCTGTTGTAGAACGATTTGATCGACTTAACCGCAGAGAACTATACGAATCGTCACCATACAGAATTCAATTATTAGTAACAGGGATTCACGGATTTAATACAGATTACATTGGATTAATAACTGTGGATATGTGATATGCCCTGCAACGTTTGTAAATTCGAAAGCGGAACATCACGCATAGGCCAACTGGCCTGCTGAAACTTGACAATTATATACTTCATGGCTGCTATATTTTGCTAAAGCATTGATTTGTGCAGTGCTACCCCGGAGGCTATGCAATTTAATTTTGGCCAAACTGGTTAAACACTCTTCATACATTGTAATATAGTTACTAGTAAATTCTTGCGACAGAAAATATGGCTTTACAACTTTTATTTATTTTGTGCAGCGTGGCATTGATAAACGCCATGACTTTCACCAAGGAGCCCAATGACATATTGGTTGATCAGGGGTCTCGATTCCATCTCAACTGCGTCATTGATAGGCTCCTAGCTAACCAGGAGGTGGTCTGGCGCAAGAACAACATCACCATCAGCATCGGCGCTGACGTGATGGGTGACAGTCTCATCGTCGATCTTAAGCGATATCGTGTCATCCAGGACTTCGCCCAGGGTTCCTTTCAGCTGAACATCTTTAATATTTCACGAATGGACGATGGCGAGTACCAATGCATGGTTTACAACAAGACAGGGAACCATCTTCAAGATGTAGCGGGGCAGTCTCGGAGAGCGACGGTCACTGTTTACTATACACCGGTCAAGAAATACCCCTACTGTCCTTTCCGTGAGGCGTCCAGGGAGCTGAAGGTTGGTGAGAACATCCCGGCTTGTATATCTGAGAAGGGAAGACCATCAGTCATGCTTGAACTTCAAGGTGCCTATGATGACTTGCCTACGACCGATATCGACTACTCAACTGTTCCGGGTTTCGCCGTCTTGACTATGAATGTTTCAGAGGCTGACGAAGGAAGAACGTATACATGCCGTGCTAGAAGTTCAGATTTCCCTTTCTATACAAGTACCTGTAATGTTGGACCACTGCGTGTTGTTTATCCTCCTCGTGTAGCGATCAGACCTATCAAGGCAGTACTGTCCACCGGTGACGAAGCCATCTTCGTATGTGAGATCATCGCTCACCCTCAGCCGACCAGCATCGAATGGTCCTTCATCCCGCCAATGGATATATCACGATATCGGCTTTACGATGATAACAGGACCCTGGAAATCGTACGACTTCTTGAAAAGGACGACAGTCGCCTTCTAGTATGTACCGTTGGGAATCGTAAGGGCAATACATCATCTGAGCGAGTCATCGCGCTATCAAAGACCTACCGTCCCCGCGGCTCGGATCCTCACGTTCCAGACGAAAGACACCATGACCACGTTCACTTGGGTTTTACCAGGTGCAGCGACGCCAATGCCGTGATCGTCGCTTGCCTGGTCGCCCTCGCCATTTTGGTTCTAGCGTTCGTGTGTGCCGTCTGCTGTCGAACGAAGAAATGCAAGTGCTTGAAATCGCCATCAAAATCCTGCAGAGAAATGACTGACAAGAAGAAAATACAACGAATCGATCATATTGATGCGAGTTATACGATGTCAAATGATGACACGCAATTGATTGTTAAATGATCATTAGTAGGCCTATACGCGTACCGTGACAATTTAATGACATGAGAGAGACATGATATCTTCATTTTCTATAACTGTATTTTAATGAAGAACATTGTTTAAACGAAAGAAGTGTCGTATATTCCTGATATGTCTTGCTTTGTGCATTATTTATATATTACTCAATTGAACATTAACTTTAGTAAAAACACCTTGCTATGGTAAATGATTAAATAACTTAGGTCATCGCACTTCTTTGGACTGTAAAGTCTCACGATGACAATAGTTTATTTTGCAAGGATGATATCCGGAATGTAAGACATTAGGCATACAGGTTGTATGAATGGCGTATCCAACGTAGAGAAAACATCTGCCAATATGAAGGCCCCAAATGAATACAACTTGGAATGAATGGTCATCACATGGACATGCCAAGGAGATATACCCCTAATGTTGAAACATCCTTGATATTCCTCTATCTATGGTTAATTGTAGAGGTGGATAACTCGCCGGACTGTATAGTTCACATCCCAGCCCGACACTAACGTTCTTTAGCAAGACGTTAATCTACATTTGCTACACTTCATCCAGGTGCTAAATGGGTACCTGGTACGATGCGAACATTAATGTAGTATGCTCAGCATTGTTAGCGTCTGCAAAATGGTGCCTGACTGGAAAACTCCCTAGGGAGTGAGAATGTGCACACATTGTGTGAGAGCGAGCTTCAATCCAATGACCG